GAAGAAGAAGATCGGGAACCCATCAGGCCCGGGTGCTCTATCTCCATCCATATCAAAGACTTCTTCTCTAATTTCTTGCTCTTCAAATTCCCTTTCAAGCCAAATTCTCTTGTCTTCTGCTAGAGTCAGCCCTTCCCAGTTTCTTAAGTTAAAGCACCTAGCCCTTTCCTTGGAGTAAAGATATTTGAAGTGGTTTAGAAAAGTCTTAGTGATCTCCTCTACATCTTCCACTTCCCTCTGGTCCACCTTAATTTTTGAGATGAGATTCTTTCTACACCTACCCGATGCATAGCTGTGGAAGAATTTTGTGTTGTTGTCTCCTTCCTTTAACCATCTGACCCTTAACCTTTGCCTCCAAAAATTTTTTTCTTTTCGGATTACCTTTTCCCACAAACTCCTTAGAGCATCTCTCCTCTTCTTCCTTCTCCATCCAGGTCTCCTGATTGCTCTTTTTTGTCTAACTCTTCCAGCTCCATGAGGATGGCATTTTTTTATTCTGTGAATGATTTGAAATCTTCTCTCACCCAGTACTTCAGTTTTCTTTTCAAGAATTTCAGCTTTTGCAGCAATCTGTACCCTACCCAGCCTTTGGCTTTACATTCCTTCCACCATAAAGCTACATTTTTTAGGAAATCTTTGTGATGAGTCCACATCTTCTCCAATCTGAATGGGTGTTTTCCTTTCAAATCCAGATCTGTTCTCAAGACTAGAGGCCAGTGGTCTGAAGTACAGCGAGGTCTGATTTCTTGGAGGAGATTTGGAAATTTCTCTGCCCAGTCCGAGGAAACCAGAAACCTATCTAGTCTGCAACTTATTGGATTCTCTTGAAGGTTTGACCAAGTGAACTGTCTGTTGTGGAGAGGAAGGTCATAGAGGTTGTACCTCGATATAAAACTGGAGAATCCTCTCATGCTTCTAGTTGTAGTTCTTCTATTGGAGTTTTCTTGAGGGAACCTTGTTACGTTAAAATCACCTCCTAGAACCCAAGGGATTCCATCAAACTCGTGGAGAGCATCCAATTCCTCACAAAAAATTTGCTTGTCTGAAGGTGCGCTAGGCCCGTATACTCCTGTCAGAATCCAACTAAATCCATCGGACTTATTGGTGAAAAGGACAGAGATTGAGTACTCTCCTCTGTCTATTTCAGTACCGGAAACCTCCTCTTCACTCCATGCTAGGATAATTCCCCCTGAGGCACCTAAAGCTGGATGAAAGACCCATTTCTTGCCACGGATTCCCCAAATTGCTCTCAGAAGCTTCCTATCCACTTCTTTTTTTGTTTCTTGAAGGATGACTATATCTGGTTTTTCTTCTCAGGGTTTCCTTTACCACACTTCTTTTTAGTTGGCCTCCCAACCCTCTGACATTCCAGCTTAATAATTTCATTGGGCTCCTATTGCTGATTTTCCCTTAACCGCCCTAGGCCTTGTTGTTTTATGATCTGACATTCCCCATTGAAGTCTCCTTAACTCCCTTTTTGAGGTCCCTTTACCGATGGTCACAAATTCAGCCTTCTGATCTGCTTCTTCCCCCTTTTTTGAGTCCTGTCCCTTTTCTTTGCTTATCCCCAATTTCCTGGCCATTTCGGTAACTTCTCTTCCTGGATTTTTGTGCCTTGCACATGTATGATGAGATTCCTGAAAAGCTATGAATTTCTTTCTAAAGGAGGGTTCTTTGTTATGGGTCACTTGTTTTGTGTTTCGTATTATATTATTATGTTATTTCTTTGTAGAAGGAGCTATTACTTGGTGTAATGGTAAAATCTCAAATTAGCAATTCATGAGAATGCTAGTTGAAGTTTGAGAATGACCAATTTGTGCAAAAGATCGCAAAAGGTTAGGACCGTATCCAATCTACCCCTCCCAAGACCCCAAATAGATGGGACCAATATTGTGTAATGGCCTTTCTAGGAAAGCTAGCTGGTTGTTATGGGCCCAACCTTGGCAATCCCACTTTGAAACTGTAGTTTCTTGTGATGATTGAGAGAGAGAGAGAGAAAGAGAGGTACGGATGATAGAAAGAAAAGCCAAAAAACACAGTACTGGCAGCTGCCAGTTTTCTATTTATATTAATCTTTATAACAAAGGCAAAATTACAAGTATGCCCCTGGCGGCATATCCTAGGATAAGAACAATAAGAAAAGAAAGAAAGAAAGGACTAGAACTGAAACTGTCCCACTAACATCAGTTACAAGGAACACTCAAGCCTTTCAACAGAAACCAATTACACCCAACAAACACCTTGACTGGACCGTGTGGCACTTACTCACTGGCGCAAGTAGAGTCAGCTTGTCCCTTGCCCAAAATTGACCTTCTTCAAATACTGGACAACACATGTGCACAATGGCTCCCACTAACCAAGCACACTAAGCACCACACTCCCATGCACACCACAATGCACACAATATTGGGGAAGGAATACCTGTATTATTCAGTAACAATACAAAGTATAATGGAGAAGCATTCAAGATCGAAGGCTTTAAAAGGCGTGGGAGGCATATGCCTGGAGCCACACCTCCAGGAAAGGTGCCCTCGAAACACCTAAAGCACATGCTGGAGATGTTGATGCCTTTGAGGCATATGCCTCAATGCCTCAAATGCCTTTTGGATGAAGCGTACACATCATGCATGCCTCATACAAAAAGAATGAAAAGAAAAGGCAAGGGGAGGGAAGAGAAAAGAAAGAAAGAAAGAGAAGGAAAAAAGAAAAAGGAATGAGAAGGGAAGCGAAAGAAAGTATAGGCTGGGGTGCTTTGCTCCCCAAGCCCCCACCCCACACCTTTCTAATGCACCCTAATCTGGTCTTTTGTGTAGGGGGCTCTTAATGGAAGACATCTTTTATCAAAAAGAAACCAGAAAATCAAGATGAGATCCTCCTCCTCCTCTTCTTCCTCCCCATACTCCTCCTTTGAGGAGGCTTACACATCTTTGTGCTTGGGAGGCTTACGCCTCTTGCATTCACCTCATGCTTCCAGGAAGTGCAGCGCCTTGTTTCATGCCTCCACATTTTAAAACATTGGATACAAATGAAGGAGGTGACTCCCATATATACGACATTACAACTCCACCTCCATACAAAAACACACTAGAAATTCTCCCCTATTGAACAGTCAAGATACCTATCTAGACTCTTCCACACAGACAAGTATTCAAGTATGTAGAAGAATGTTCTAGAGCAAATCCAAAACATTCTAGGCTTCACTAGCCCAAGAATGCCCTGGCCCCTGGATGAACCCACACTTTTCTAGAAGGCTCCACCATGATCCAGCCCAGTCTGGTCCCCTGAAAACATTCTAGAACGCCCAGGAAAGCCCTGCCCTTGCCTAGAATCTTCATGAAATGCCCAATTAACCTGTCACCACATGACGTGGAGCTAGCTTGAAGAGAGAGTGTTGGCTGTCTTGGTTATTTTTCGGTTTTATTGTTATACTGGTGAAAGAGGTAATTTAGGTTTTGTTTGATACTATTGCTGTTTCTACCTAAAACATTTTGAGTTAATCAATACAAATTGGTCAGAGGCATGTTTCGTCATATCACATATGACAGTTACTTTGTATAAACTGATTAGAATCCACAGCCTCCGACACATGCACTTTTAAGGTATGCCCATTTCAACTATAAACAGCCTCAAATAACAGTTATACTTTAAACAGAACAGGACTAACATATTTTGATCACTATACACAAACACACACACACACACACATAAAGGGGCACATGTCTATATAATCTTCTCAATTCTCTTCTTTTTCTTCTCCTCTTCTACTTCTCATTTCAATTATTTTATAATTTTTTCTCTTATTTTTTTATTTTTCTCTTCTTGAATCTAATCTGGTTTATTACTCAAACAACAAGATGAATCACCACTTTTTTTACCAATATCAGAGTTGGGTCTTTATTTATTTATTTGAGAAAGGTAAAATAATATATTGTATTGATCTCCCAAAGGCAAAAAACTCCTGTACAACAGGTTGCTGTACACAAGGTATATACAAGGCTACTCACTTTACAATATAGAACCAGCCCATAACTGTTTACAAAAAGGTTCTCAAAATATGAAAAAAAAAGGTGTTAGTATCTCTTCCTCTAAACAGCTTGTGACATGCCAACCAAGAGAACACCTTCCCCATGATTCTGTTAGTTACTACTTCTGTACTTGCTTTGTTTGCAAAAATCCCAATAATCCCTTCTTTCTGTAATGACCAAAACACAGTTGCAGGTAATTGCTCCCCATGCTATTTCCCATGTTTACTCAAATCTCTCAAATGCCAACACTTTAAAACTGGAGCTTGGAAGCAGTTTCTAGTTGCAAAAAGCTCTGCCATATACTGTAGAATCAAGTGGTTAACTGTCTTCAGATTTTCATCACAGAGAACAAAGTTTGTGTTGGCAACAGTGCCAGAGCTGGATCTTAAGCTGAGTTAGGTTTTGACACCAACTTTCTGCATTTGTCTGAGAAACTTGTTTAATGAACATAATCATTGATCACAATTAATTCAACCATATGCGAAAAAGGTGAAGAGAAAAAATAAAAAGGGGAAGAATAGGGACGAAGTCAGCAATCATGGGGTGATAACAACAATATGTTGCTTAAACAGATGTCAAGATAGAAAAGCATATACTGCTCATTCTAAAGATAAAGCAGGTCAAATGCAGAATCAGCAGCAGAAACACAAAGTTTGCCTTGTATCAAAGAAGATGTTTGCCTAGTAGTTATCATTGACAGAGTAAAATGGGAAACAAAAGATTAAACTGAAGAGAAAATAGATAAGATACTCATAATAGAAACACAAAGTTTCCCTTGTATTAAAGAAGATGTTTTCAATGATTTTTCGTGAAAAGACATTGTTTAGAGTGTAGTAGTTACCGTTGACAGAGTAAAATGAAAAACAGAAGATTAAACTGAAGAGGAAATTGATAATATACTCATGATAGAAAGCTGTCTAACAAGGAATTCAATTATGAAAATTCTATAAATTATTAATTTCTTTTTTACAGTACCTGGAGTCGCATGAGTAGATCTGAGCTATGCTTCTTCTCAAACCTAAGCTTTGTGAAATGATCACGAGCCTTCTCAACTTCCATAAGATGTTCTGGTGTTCTACTCTCAGGATCAAACTCCCAAACTTGCCTTCCAACATGGTTGTTCAGAGTACGAAGCCATGGACTTCCTCCTTCAGCAATCTTAAGCTTCCACATTATTGATCTAAAAACTGGATTCAAAGAACATAATGCCAATTATTTAGATTTTATTTTTAATCAATATCAAGTTAAAATTAATGGAAAATATCCTTTCAAGTACAAGTTAGCAAAACCAACAAAAAGAATTTGGATTTCAATAAAAAAGAAGCTTATAATTTAAAGAAAACATGAAGAAACCTATTAGAATTTAGCATCTCAATTGATTTAACCTTGATTTTGAATTTGAATTGAAATCTATTAGTATTTTAAACAAACCTGCCAGTAGCAGCAATGACTTCACCTACATTAGTTTGGTTTACCTTCAAAATTACAAGTTTATGTAGACTTATCACATAAGGTGATCTTCCTCATAGTTTTATTGAGAAAATAGCGCATGAAGCAAGAAAGGAGAGACAAATAAATCAAAGGCCTTGTTTTACCAATTCATGGATGACCATACATATCGCTTTCAGTCATGTTATTTTATCTAAAGCCATATCATTTGATAAATCATAACTTATCAATATTTTCTCATCACTTGAACCCATGTCCTGTTCAGCCATCCCAATGTCCTTTACAGCTTTCAATCACAAAGCACATTATAAGTACATATCAATTTCATTCATCCTATTAAAATCATATGGACCACATCATCTTAAATCACTTTGGTACCTTGTGTAACATTAAATAGAGGGGACTTAGTTGATCTGAAGCACCTTTCGCCCATCAATCTTAATTATTATATCATAACTGTTGTTTCCTATCTACATGTAATGTGTATTAGGTGAGTTCATTGTAAAAATGATTTAAAACTACTCTCAACAGATCTAGAATTTGACCTTTCTTTAGAAAACAAATATGCATGCATACTAGCTAACGATTTGTCAGTCCTGGGAGTATCACAACATTTGACTCTGTAGCTATCTACCATCAACTTATGATAAATGTTTCTTGACATCCTAGTTAAATGACATTATTTTATGTTATCTATCATGACTAGAGTACCCATCCATGTGGTTTTCTGGAACTATCAAATGTTTGCACTTTTCTAGATTTGGAAATGATGTTCTGTTTCCACCTGTGGCTTTACCATGGACAGCTTAGTAACTGAAAACTATTATTTCGGGTAATACCATCTTCTACTCCAAAATCAAGCCAAAACCTGGATGAGAAAAAGTTTATACCAGGAAAAGTTATGTCCTTGACTGCTTGAGTTACTCATACATGCCAGCAAATAGATTTGATACACAATTCTTTCTTGAAGAAAAAAGGGCGAGATTAAGAAAAAAGGGGACACACATTCCCCCATCCCATAATCTATAACACCCCTGAATTCTAGTGCATCCAGAATTATAACTCCAATCAAACACCCTCTAGTGATTCTGTAAAAGAACATCTTTGTAAAGCATCTAATGTTTCCCTTGATTTATAAAGCATTCCAACTTGATGTTTAAAGGTCACACAGCCATCCAATTCATTATCCAAATCGTGGAAGATAAATGAGTAGAAAACAACTAACCAGAGAAATAATAGCCCAATCTTCCTTGAGTTCCCCCAAGTGAAAGGAAAAATCTGGACACTTGCCCATAAACTATGAAGTATACTAAGATCCTCTTAATGGCTTTCTTGGAGATAATTTCTTATATAACAGATTGTTTGTAAACCTATGAAATAGAGAGGCATATATTGACTTAATTGTTCATGTAAAAAGGCCTAAGGCATTTGAAATTTTTAATTCGCCAATGCCAATGGTTCAATCACATAATCCATGTGGAAGTGTACCGTCTTACACTTTTATATCCTAGATTGTGATATCAAACCGTGGAACGTTGAAGTGGTCAGGGCCCTATTTGGCAGGTGCAACAAGTAGTCTAAGGTCTCAGAGGATATCTCCGTGTTTCTTAATTTCTTATTTCACAGCCCAAAATAATTAAATAACACAAATGGGGACATTCTTTTTCTTTTAGACAATCAAAATGTGAACATGAGAATCGGAAAATTAGCCTGCTGATAGCAAACTTCCATGGGGAAATTGAGAAGTTTCCCCAAGCCTCAATTTTTCCCAACTGTCAACAGTCCAATAAGGTCTCTAGCATTTGATATGGCAATTATATACTATTTCAGATTGCATAGCAATACTTGTGCTGGGCTTCAGTTTGGCACCAAATCAAGCTTGCAGACATCCACTTACAGATTCCAAATAAATTATTTCCAAAACTTCTCTGTTGAACAACATTTTCTTGCTCCGTCATAAACAATCAGATACTTTATTACCCCTCGAGTTGTACAGTACAATTCACAGCGAATTAAAACTATTTCCATCCAACTGATTATTCTCTTCTAATCCACATAGTTCAAACCTCAAACTAACAACATACTTAACCACATTTCTCATCAACAGAAGCATTCAATCAAAAAGGAAAAAGATAAAGAAAAGAAGAAACGTGATCAATGTGTCCATAGCCGGCATTAACTGACGTATCTAAAAAAATTGGGATAAAAAAAAAAAAAAACGAACAGAGGAATTCAAGAAATTAGAGATTCTGTATAGAGGTCGAAGAACCTGGAGAAGATGAAGAGAGAAGCTGAGTGATATTCTTGAAGATCAGAGCTCCCTAGGGATCACTGGAACTGGACCTTCAGAGGCACCAGCATAGTAGTAGATTGTATCATGTCAATTGCTAGTCGATCGATGTTTACAGTTGCTGGGCGTTTTATTCAATGGAACGCACCTGAAATCATCCATGGTTGCACGGAGAGTGCTGAACTAATTAAGATATGCCACGTAATTTAGAAAATGTGGGGATCATGTGTACGTTGTGGAACGAGTGTCACACACCTGGCATGGGATCGAGATTCCAATGGTGGTCCAGTCTCCCATGTTTGGGGTAATCCAGTAGTGTGCTCTCAGTAGGATTAGGCTGGGTTTAAGCTGTCTCTCATGTTAGTCTGATCAATTTGTCTACACTCTCTTCTAGATTCTAGAACGGTAGTCAAGATTGAAGAAATGAGTCAAATAACCTGTTTCAACGTCACTCCACCCACATCAGATTGTGGATTCAGTGCCCGTCAGGGACGGCTTTCAGTTTCAGATAGTGGCTTCTGGCTTTTAAAGAGGTGGACCCTGACTAAGCTGTCATGATCATGCTTATTTGGGCTATTCAGATTTTCCACCATGTATGGCTTATGGGCTATCTATGTGAGAACCAACCTTGGACAGGTAGAAGCCACTCCCCTTCAGCGGTTCAGCCCTCTCAAATAAGCATCGAAACAATTGTAGTTCACTAAAGATAGAAGCTTCTTTAGGCTGTGTTTGGGATTTCTTATTGCTTAAATAAGTGCAGCTTATGAGTTGGTGAAAAAGTGCATTCAAAACGGGGTAGTATAGGCATTTTGATAATTATGTGACACTAGCTGTGGCAGCTCAATACATGCCAAAAACGCAATAAGCACTTTTTAAACATGTACTTATAAAAAAAGGCTAAATACTGGATTTCTTCAAACTGGCTCATTCTCTTGAAAAAGCACTTATTGGTAAAATAAGCACTTTACCAAAAACCTACAAGTGTTATTTCATGTTGACCTTACATTAAATAAGAACTTAGAAGAAGCACACGCAAACAGCGGCTTAGTGGCTAAGCATGTCAATCAAAGCTTTAGCCTCCTAAACGAGCCTTCAATCTATTGTTTAATTTAATGAATCGCACCAAATGCGGCTACGTCTGCCTTCTCATTTGTGTGAGGAAATACATTGCATAATCCATTAAACCTTATTATTTCAAGTCATTAAATATTAAGTACAAATTTAAAATTTAAATGTCTCCAAGATTTAAATATCTTTCCAATACATTAATTGTAATTTTAAATCATTAAAAAGATTTAGGAAAAACTATCAAAAGGCTGAAAATTCAATTTCTTATGACCAAAAACAATATAGTACAAAAAATTCATTGCACTAATTTTCCCTATTTCTGAATTTATATCCACTAAGTTCTAGATAGAACAAATTAATCCAATTCTAAAATTACACCCATTTAAGTTCCAAATCTCTTGATACAATACAAGTTCTAGCAACTTGGACAAAGCCAAGGTGGAAGGATGGAGTGCACCGAGAGGATCTGTAAGCAAATAGAAAGTCAGAGGCCCGAGGATAAGGTCCCTAGGAAAGGTACTCTGACACTTAAATCAGTAATAAGATGATAAAGTCAATCGGGCCAAGCCATTAAGGACAAGCTGGTCCTAGTCGAGGAAGAAGCATGAGAGTTAAGAGAGTAAGAGAGTGAGAGAAGTAAAAGATGGCAAACCTTAAGGGAAATGCCTTTAAATAGCCGTGTGTTCATATTGTATTCAAACATGCTCCTTACGGGGTTGTTGGGATAAGGCAACTCATCGAGGTCTTTAGAAGGCTCCTCCTTCCCTGAAGTAGGGGGCCTTATCTTTGGGAGGCGGTGACACTTATCCGTGAGGAATTCTGCTTCTCTTCCAAGATCTCTAGCAACGTGATTATCCATGCTTCTTGGTGGGTAGCACTCTAATGTGGTCCGAGGACATCGGCCACAAAGGCACCCACGTAACAGTTTTGACTAGCTAAGGCACTACCCAAATACCAGTCCCCCAGTTCCAAAGTCAAGGAGTAAGGTGCTCAATGGAATAGAAGAGCTCCTGTAGTGCTTGATTGAGAAACTTAGTAGATTTTTTGGTTAGTCAAACCAGGTTAGAGAACCGTTGTGCCGAATCAGGGGTACTTTACCATTGATTGTACAATCCATCGGTGGTGTCATTTCATCTTCCTGAACTTGCACACATGTAAAGTGCAACAATGCATCTGGACCATTCGTCGTGTTTGATTTGGGTCATTTGGCTGCTTTTATAAAAGGAGGGGAGTAAGCCATTTACTTTGTCATTTTAAGCAAGGAGTTCAATTGGTGCTTGATTAGACTTCGTCCTTGTTAAGTGCTTTAGGTGTTCTATNAATGGTCCAACTCCTTCCATATGGAGGTAAGAGCCGAATAATATGAGGACAAGCTACGGTTTCCCTGTTTACAGGTAGAGGACTCAGCTTGTAGTTGGTAAATCTTGGCATAATGCCTTTGCTCAGAATAGGTACTTCTGGCCTGTTCCCAGATCTCACTAGTGGTGTCTGCCCACATAAAATTCTTCACATCAGGTTCCATAGCTGCAAGGAGCCATGACATCACCATACTGTTTTCTTGGTCCCACCTATCATGTTCAGTTGTATCGCCCTTAGGTTCTTTCACCCTTCCATTGATGTAACCGGCCTTACCCCTTGCTGTTACATAGAGTTTTACACTCTTAGCCCACTCCAGGTAGTTCAGACCATTCAAGGAGGTGATTGGCATGGGAAAAACCATGGTTTCACCTCCCATACCTGCTGTGTTTGCGGGTTGAGGTCAGTTCCTGAATTGCCATTGAAAATTACAACCAACCAGTCCAAATGCCACCTAACAGCACAGCCGCCACAACTGGAATGTGGCAACTCAGGGTTTACTCCTAGAATGAGAGCAACAAGCTATGGAATATTACTGAGAGCACAAGAACTGTTGAGAATGAGAGACAGTCATCGGTTCAGTCACTACAACGTCCAAACAGAACAATAAATAGTCCAGTCATCGGTTCAGCACCACCAATACAGACCTTACTGTCAGTCCGAATGTGGCTCCCCCACTCTAACCATCCAATTATTCAAACTAGTAATCATATAATCAAGGCCTAAGCCCTATGCACCATTGGATAAAGAATACTGAGATAAACTGAAACAAAACCACATCTGTTCAACACTAGATCAGAACCTGCTAGGGTTTCATTGCACCATCAACACCCTCCTTCAATTAGGGTTTCAGCAGACCAACACCATCCCACGGCCAGACACAGCTAGGGTTTTCAGCAACTGTCGCATGGAGCCACTAGGGTTTCAGCAGAAGTACAGCCGCAGGACTTACTAGGGTTTCTGCAAGCACAGTCGCCAGAGAAAGTTGAAAAACACAAGCCGCCGCTAGGGTTTTTTTCCTTTTTCCTTCTGAAACAAAAGTAGCCACGTCCAATCCCCTTTGGAAAGACTGATGCTAGGATCATAGGTCTTCTCTAGCCCAGAAATTCCGCTCTGATACCATGTAGTTTCTTGTGATGATTGAGAGAGAGAGAGAGGTACGGATGATAGAAAGAAAAGCCAAAAAACACAGTACTGGCAGCCGCCAGTTTTCTATTTATATTAATCTTTATAACAAAGGCAAAATTACAAGTATGCCCCTGGCGGCATATCCTAGGATAAGAACAATAAGAAAAGAAAGAAAGAAAGGACTAGAACTGAAACTGTCCCACTAACATCAGTTACAAGGAACACTCAAGCCTTTCAACAGAAACCAATTACACCCAACAAACACCTTGACTGGACCGTGTGGCACTTACTCACTGGCGCAAGTAGAGTCAGCTTGTCCCTTGCCCAAAATTGACCTTCTTCAAATACTGGACAACACATGTGCACAATGGCTCCCACTAACCAAGCACACTAAGCACCACACTCCCATGCACACCACAATGCACACAATATTGGGGAAGGAATACCTGTATTATTCAGTAACAATACAAAGTATAATGGAGAAGCATTCAAGATCGAAGGCTTTAAAAGGCGTGGGAGGCATATGCCTGGAGCCACACCTCCAGGAAAGGTGCCCTCGAAACACCTAAAGCACATGCTGGAGATGTTGATGCCTTTGAGGCATATGCCTCAATGCCTCAAATGCCTTTTGGATGAAGCGTACACATCATGCATGCCTCATACAAAAAGAATGAAAAGAAAAGGCAAGGGGAGGGAAGAGAAAAGAAAGAAAGAAAGAGAAGGAAAAAAGAAAAAGGAATGAGAAGGGAAGCGAAAGAAAGTATAGGCTGGGGTGCTTTGCTCCCCAAGCCCCCACCCCACACCTTTCTAATGCACCCTAATCTGGTCTTTTGTGTAGGGGGCTCTTAATGGAAGACATCTTTTATCAAAAAGAAACCAGAAAATCAAGATGAGATCCTCCTCCTCCTCTTCTTCCTCCCCATACTCCTCCTTTGAGGAGGCTTACACATCTTTGTGCTTGGGAGGCTTACGCCTCTTGCATTCACCTCATGCTTCCAGGAAGTGCAGCGCCTTGTTTCATGCCTCCACATTTTAAAACATTGGATACAAATGAAGGAGGTGACTCCCATATATACGACATTACAACTCCACCTCCATACAAAAACACACTAGAAATTCTCCCCTATTGAACAGTCAAGATACCTATCTAGACTCTTCCACACAGACAAGTATTCAAGTATGTAGAAGAATGTTCTAGAGCAAATCCAAAACATTCTAGGCTTCACTAGCCCAAGAATGCCCTGGCCCCTGGATGAACCCACACTTTTCTAGAAGGCTCCACCATGATCCAGCCCAGTCTGGTCCCCTGAAAACATTCTAGAACGCCCAGGAAAGCCCTGCCCTTGCCTAGAATCTTCATGAAATGCCCAATTAACCTGTCACCACATGACGTGGAGCTAGCTTGAAGAGAGAGTGTTGGCTGTCTTGGTTATTTTTCGGTTTTATTGTTATACTGGTGAAAGAGGTAATTTAGGTTTTGTTTGATACTATTGCTGTTTCTACCTAAAACATTTTGAGTTAATCAATACAAATTGGTCAGAGGCATGTTTCGTCATATCACATATGACAGTTACTTTGTATAAACTGATTAGAATCCACAGCCTCCGACACATGCACTTTTAAGGTATGCCCATTTCAACTATAAACAGCCTCAAATAACAGTTATACTTTAAACAGAACAGGACTAACATATTTTGATCACTATACACAAACACACACACACACACACATAAAGGGGCACATGTCTATATAATCTTCTCAATTCTCTTCTTTTTCTTCTCCTCTTCTACTTCTCATTTCAATTATTTTATAATTTTTTCTCTTATTTTTTTATTTTTCTCTTCTTGAATCTAATCTGGTTTATTACTCAAACAACAAGATGAATCACCACTTTTTTTACCAATATCAGAGTTGGGTCTTTATTTATTTATTTGAGAAAGGTAAAATAATATATTGTATTGATCTCCCAAAGGCAAAAAACTCCTGTACAACAGGTTGCTGTACACAAGGTATATACAAGGCTACTCACTTTACAATATAGAACCAGCCCATAACTGTTTACAAAAAGGTTCTCAAAATATGAAAAAAAAAGGTGTTAGTATCTCTTCCTCTAAACAGCTTGTGACATGCCAACCAAGAGAACACCTTCCCCATGATTCTGTTAGTTACTACTTCTGTACTTGCTTTGTTTGCAAAAATCCCAATAATCCCTTCTTTCTGTAATGACCAAAACACAGTTGCAGGTAATTGCTCCCCATGCTATTTCCCATGTTTACTCAAATCTCTCAAATGCCAACACTTTAAAACTGGAGCTTGGAAGCAGTTTCTAGTTGCAAAAAGCTCTGCCATATACTGTAGAATCAAGTGGTTAACTGTCTTCAGATTTTCATCACAGAGAACAAAGTTTGTGTTGGCAACAGTGCCAGAGCTGGATCTTAAGCTGAGTTAGGTTTTGACACCAACTTTCTGCATTTGTCTGAGAAACTTGTTTAATGAACATAATCATTGATCACAATTAATTCAACCATATGCGAAAAAGGTGAAGAGAAAAAATAAAAAGGGGAAGAATAGGGACGAAGTCAGCAATCATGGGGTGATAACAACAATATGTTGCTTAAACAGATGTCAAGATAGAAAAGCATATACTGCTCATTCTAAAGATAAAGCAGGTCAAATGCAGAATCAGCAGCAGAAACACAAAGTTTGCCTTGTATCAAAGAAGATGTTTGCCTAGTAGTTATCATTGACAGAGTAAAATGGGAAACAAAAGATTAAACTGAAGAGAAAATAGATAAGATACTCATAATAGAAACACAAAGTTTCCCTTGTATTAAAGAAGATGTTTTCAATGATTTTTCGTGAAAAGACATTGTTTAGAGTGTAGTAGTTACCGTTGACAGAGTAAAATGAAAAACAGAAGATTAAACTGAAGAGGAAATTGATAATATACTCATGATAGAAAGCTGTCTAACAAGGAATTCAATTATGAAAATTCTATAAATTATTAATTTCTTTTTTACAGTACCTGGAGTCGCATGAGTAGATCTGAGCTATGCTTCTTCTCAAACCTAAGCTTTGTGAAATGATCACGAGCCTTCTCAACTTCCATAAGATGTTCTGGTGTTCTACTCTCAGGATCAAACTCCCAAACTTGCCTTCCAACATGGTTGTTCAGAGTACGAAGCCATGGACTTCCTCCTTCAGCAATCTTAAGCTTCCACATTATTGATCTAAAAACTGGATTCAAAGAACATAATGCCAATTATTTAGATTTTATTTTTAATCAATATCAAGTTAAAATTAATGGAAAATATCCTTTCAAGTACAAGTTAGCAAAACCAACAAAAAGAATTTGGATTTCAATAAAAAAGAAGCTTATAATTTAAAGAAAACATGAAGAAACCTATTAGAATTTAGCATCTCAATTGATTTAACCTTGATTTTGAATTTGAATTGAAATCTATTAGTATTTTAAACAAACCTGCCAGTAGCAGCAATGACTTCACCTACATTAGTTTGGTTTACCTTCAAAATTACAAGTTTATGTAGACTTATCACATAAGGTGATCTTCCTCATAGTTTTATTGAGAAAATAGCGCATGAAGCAAGAAAGGAGAGACAAATAAATCAAAGGCCTTGTTTTACCAATTCATGGATGACCATACATATCGCTTTCAGTCATGTTATTTTATCTAAAGCCATATCATTTGATAAATCATAACTTATCAATATTTTCTCATCACTTGAACCCATGTCCTGTTCAGCCATCCCAATGTCCTTTACAGCTTTCAATCACAAAGCACATTATAAGTACATATCAATTTCATTCATCCTATTAAAATCATATGGACCACATCATCTTAAATCACTTTGGTACCTTGTGTAACATTAAATAGAGGGGACTTAGTTGATCTGAAGCACCTTTCGCCCATCAATCTTAATTATTATATCATAACTGTTGTTTCCTATCTACATGTAATGTGTATTAGGTGAGTTCATTGTAAAAATGATTTAAAACTACTCTCAACAGATCTAGAATTTGACCTTTCTTTAGAAAACAAATATGCATGCATACTAGCTAACGATTTGTCAGTCCTGGGAGTATCACAACATTTGACTCTGTAGCTATCTACCATCAACTTATGATAAATGTTTCTTGACATCCTAGTTAAATGACATTATTTTATGTTATCTATCATGACTAGAGTACCCATCCATGTGGTTTTCTGGAACTATCAAATGTTTGCACTTTTCTAGATTTGGAAATGATGTTCTGTTTCCACCTGTGGCTTTACCATGGACAGCTTAGTAACTGAAAACTATTATTTCGGGTAATACCATCTTCTACTCCAAAATCAAGCCAAAACCTGGATGAGAAAAAGTTTATACCAGGAAAAGTTATGTCCTTGACTGCTTGAGTTACTCATACATGCCAGCAAATAGATTTGATACACAATTCTTTCTTGAAGAAAAAAGGGCGAGATTAAGAAAAAAGGGGACACACATTCCCCCATCCCATAATCTATAACACCCCTGAATTCTAGTGCATCCAGAATTATAACTCCAATCAAACACCCTCTAGTGATTCTGTAAAAGAACATCTTTGTAAAGCATCTAATGTTTCCCTTGATTTATAAAGCATTCCAACTTGATGTTTAAAGGTCACACAGCCATCCAATTCATTATCCAAATCGTGGAAGATAAATGAGTAGAAAACAACTAACCAGAGAAATAATAGCCCAATCTTCCTTGAGTTCCCCCAAGTGAAAGGAAAAATCTGGACACTTGCCCATAAACTATGAAGTATACTAAGATCCTCTTAATGGCTTTCTTGGAGATAATTTCTTATATAACAGATTGTTTGTAAACCTATGAAATAGAGAGGCATATATTGACTTAATTGTTCATGTAAAAAGGCCTAAGGCATTTGAAATTTTTAATTCGCCAATGCCAATGGTTCAATCACATAATCCATGTGGAAGTGTACCGTCTTACACTTTTATATCCTAGATTGTGATATCAAACCGTGGAACGTTGAAGTGGTCAGGGCCCTATTTGGCAGGTGCAACAAGTAGTCTAAGGTCTCAGAGGATATCTCCGTGTTTCTTAATTTCTTATTTCACAGCCCAAAATAATTAAATAACACAAATGGGGACATTCTTTTTCTTTTAGACAATCAAAATGTGAACATGAGAATCGGAAAATTAGCCTGCTGATAGCAAACTTCCATGGGGAAATTGAGAAGTTTCCCCAAGCCTCAATTTTTCCCAACTGTCAACAGTCCAATAAGGTCTCTAGCATTTGATATGGCAATTATATACTATTTCAGATTGCATAGCAATACTTGTGCTGGGCTTCAGTTTGGCACCAAATCAAGCTTGCAGACATCCACTTACAGATTCCAAATAAATTATTTCCAAAACTTCTCTGTTGAACAACATTTTCTTGCTCCGTCATAAACAATCAGATACTTTATTACCCCTCGAGTTGTACAGTACAATTCACAGCGAATTAAAACTATTTCCATCCAACTGATTATTCTCTTCTAATCCACATAGTTCAAACCTCAAACTAACAACATACTTAACCACATTTCTCATCAACAGAAGCATTCAATCAAAAAGGAAAAAGATAAAGAAAAGAAGAAACGTGATCAATGTGTCCATAGCCGGCATTAACTGACGTATCTAAAAAAATTGGGATAAAAAAAAAAAAAAACGAACAGAGGAATTCAAGAAATTAGAGATTCTGTATAGAGGTCGAAGAACCTGGAGAAGATGAAGAGAGAAGCTGAGTGATATTCTTGAAGATCAGAGCTCCCTAGGGATCACTGGAACTGGACCTTCAGAGGCACCAGCATAGTAGTAGATTGTATCATGTCAATTGCTAGTCGATCGATGTTTACAGTTGCTGGGCGTTTTATTCAATGGAACGCACCTGAAATCATCCATGGTTGCACGGAGAGTGCTGAACTAATTAAGATATGCCACGTAATTTAGAAAATGTGGGGATCATGTGTACGTTGTGGAACGAGTGTCACACACCTGGCATGGGATCGAGATTCCAATGGTGGTCCAGTCTCCCATGTTTGGGGTAATCCAGTAGTGTGCTCTCAGTAGGATTAGGCTGGGTTTAAGCTGTCTCTCATGTTAGTCTGATCAATTTGTCTACACTCTCTTCTAGATTCTAGAACGGTAGTCAAGATTGAAGAAATGAGTCAAATAACCTGTTTCAACGTCACTCCACCCACATCAGATTGTGGATTCAGTGCCCGTCAGGGACGGCTTTCAGTTTCAGATAGTGGCTTCTGGCTTTTAAAGAGGTGGACCCTGACTAAGCTGTCATGATCATGCTTATTTGGGCTATTCAGATTTTCCACCATGTATGGCTTATGGGCTATCTATGTGAGAACCAACCTTGGACAGGTAGAAGCCACTCCCCTTCAGCGGTTCAGCCCTCTCAAATAAGCATCGAAACAATTGTAGTTCACTAAAGATAGAAGCTTCTTTAGGCTGTGTTTGGGATTTCTTATTGCTTAAATAAGTGCAGCTTATGAGTTGGTGAAAAAGTGCATTCAAAACGGGGTAGTATAGGCATTTTGATAATTATGTGACACTAGCTGTGGCAGCTCAATACATGCCAAAAACGCAATAAGCACTTTTTAAACATGTACTTATAAAAAAAGGCTAAATACTGGATTTCTTCAAACTGGCTCATTCTCTTGAAAAAGCACTTATTGGTAAAATAAGCACTTTACCAAAAACCTACAAGTGTTATTTCATGTTGACCTTACATTAAATAAGAACTTAGAAGAAGCACACGCAAACAGCGGCTTAGTGGCTAAGCATGTCAATCAAAGCTTTAGCCTCCTAAACGAGCCTTCAATCTATTGTTTAATTTAATGAATCGCACCAAATGCGGCTACGTCTGCCTTCTCATTTGTGTGAGGAAATACATTGCATAATCCATTAAACCTTATTATTTCAAGTCATTAAATATTAAGTACAAATTTAAAATTTAAATGTCTCCAAGATTTAAATATCTTTCCAATACATTAATTGTAATTTTAAATCATTAAAAAGATTTAGGAAAAACTATCAAAAGGCTGAAAATTCAATTTCTTATGACCAAAAACAATATAGTACAAAAAATTCATTGCACTAATTTTCCCTATTTCTGAATTTATATCCACTAAGTTCTAGATAGAACAAATTAATCCAATTCTAAAATTACACCCATTTAAGTTCCAAATCTCTTGATACAATACAAGTTCTAGCAACTTGGACAAAGCCAAGGTGGAAGGATGGAGTGCACCGAGAGGATCTGTAAGCAAATAGAAAGTCAGAGGCCCGAGGATAAGGTCCCTAGGAAAGGTACTCTGACACTTAAATCAGTAATAAGATGATAAAGTCAATCGGGCCAAGCCATTAAGGACAAGCTGGTCCTAGTCGAGGAAGAAGCATGAGAGTTAAGAGAGTAAGAGAGTGAGAGAAGTAAAAGATGGCAAACCTTAAGGGAAATGCCTTTAAATAGCCGTGTGTTCATATTGTATTCAAACATGCTCCTTACGGGGTTGTTGGGATAAGGCAACTCATCGAGGTCTTTAGAAGGCTCCTCCTTCCCTGAAGTAGGGGGCCTTATCTTTGGGAGGCGGTGACACTTATCCGTGAGGAATTCTGCTTCTCTTCCAAGATCTCTAGCAACGTGATTATCCATGCTTCTTGGTGGGTAGCACTCTAATGTGGTCCGAGGACATCGGCCACAAAGGCACCCACGTAACAGTTTTGACTAGCTAAGGCACTACCCAAATACCAGTCCCCCAGTTCCAAAGTCAAGGAGTAAGGTGCTCAATGGAATAGAAGAGCTCCTGTAGTGCTTGATTGAGAAACTTAGTAGATTTTTTGGTTAGTCAAACCAGGTTAGAGAACCGTTGTGCCGAATCAGGGGTACTTTACCATTGATTGTACAATCCATCGGTGGTGTCATTTCATCTTCCTGAACTTGCACACATGTAAAGTGCAACAATGCATCTGGACCATTCGTCGTGTTTGATTTGGGTCATTTGGCTGCTTTTATAAAAGGAGGGGAGTAAGCCATTTACTTTGTCATTTTAAGCAAGGAGTTCAATTGGTGCTTGATTAGACTTCGTCCTTGTTAAGTGCTTTAGGTGTTCTATGTTTTTTTTTTTTTTTTTTTACTTTGGAAAGATGTCTTCCACCTTGTCCTTTCCTTCCTTTTCTTTGTTGAGGTTAGGTCCCCTGAGACCAATGTGGTTGTTGAGGTCGACAAGGAGCTAGGTTGTGAAGCCACGGCGAGGCCAAGGAGGCCAAAGTCATGAAGACTGATGAGGCCGAAGTTGAAATTCCATTGCAAGAGGAAGAAGAGTTGGGCAATTCTTTGAGGTTTGGAAAATGTTTCGCTTCAGCCCCTTGTAGGTTGTTGGTCGAAGACATGGCTTGGATAAGGGAGGCATATAGAATTCCTAAGAAATTTAAGCTGAGGTGTCTAGAGATAGGTGATAGGTGAGAGGGCAACATTGGTTCAGTTAAGCAAGATAAGTGAGAGGGCAACTCCTGAGGAGTTTGAGATCAATCTAATTACGGGCCTGAGGTTTCCACTAGATTGGAGCATCATGACCGTGTTGAAGTGACACCGCATCCAAGTCGTCTAACTGATGTCAAACTCCTTCTGATACTTAGTTGGACTCCTGTTCTATTATACTATTCATGACATTAAGATCACCCTATTGATGTTCAAGTACTTCCTTCACTTGAAAAAACACCAATAGGGCTATTACTACCTATTAACCTGGTCGAATGCCAAGGTGCTTTTTGGAGCCCTTTCCTTAGTTAAACACTGGAATGCGGGCTTCTTCTTTGTTAAGCATCAGGATGGTTGATCATTTCCTTCTGAGTTGGTTGTCCCAAGGACAAAAGAGAGGGCCCTAACTGAAGCCAAGCTATCGAAGGAGGAAGTGATGGCCTTAAGGCGAATTGTGAGGGTTCATGTTTAGGAGTACACCTTGTCCGACATGCTAATTCAAATTAGGTTGTTGCGGCCCCCAACTAGTTGTTTCTGGCTTAGCATGGCTTTGCACTCACTCTTTGGCTTCCTATCAAGTGTTGATTATTTCTCTTTTATGCCTTGTAGATACAGATATGGCTAATAGCAATGAGGAGAGAATGAAGCATTTCCAAGATGCGACTGAGAGGAAGGTGATGGTTGATGCACGTTGGTAGTGACACTCAACAGAGGGTTCTCCTCAGCAATCATTTACAGTTAACTCCTCGGAGGAGTCTTGAGGGGCAAGTCGTGGTTGAAGGGAGAGAAGAGGTTGGTGTCTACTCACTGACTTGGAATGTTTGTCCTAATGACACCTTGGAAACGGAGGGTGTGGCTAAATAGCTTGCTTAGGGCATTAGCCATCAGAGATAGCCACACAAGTAGGTTTCTGGAGAGTTTGGCCATGCACTAGACCATCACAATAAGTTTTCTTTATTTTTTTTTTACATCTTACTTTCTACAGCTATATGCTCGGGCGTTGGTCTAGTTGACCACATGCGAGGCCTTCGCCAAATGGCCGAGGCGAGAGGTTGAGAACATGTAGATGAAGGCGGAACTTGTCGAGGTGAAAAAGGCCCTGGAAGACAAGGAGGATGGCCTTAAGAAGTTGATGAGTCAGGTCCATGACCTAAAGGAGGTGAGGGAGAAGACAAAGAAGGTTACAAAGGAGGCAGATGTGAGAGTGGCTCAGGAAAAGGAAGAGGTCATTGCCAAGCACAAGGCTTCGAAGGTTTTTCTTATAGAATTAGATGACTATGCTATTGAATTTTAGCAAGGCGGCTTCGAATGATACAAGAGGAAGGTCATGCAATTATTCTCCAAGATCACTTCCATGGTGGATGAGTTTGGCTATTCAACCTCGAGGAAGCCAATTGGTCGGGGCTATTGTGCTACTAGAGACCCAAGAATGCACCAAAGACCCTCCATTGAGGATTGAAATCTGCTGAAGTGTCTCTGTTTTGTTTTATAATGTTGGTTTTTGTATAGCTTTGGATGTCGATCTCAAATACTTGTAAAAAATCTCTTATTGAATGAAATGCTCTCTGTTTTGCTCCAATCTTCCACCATGCTTTGTAGTTTTTTCTTGGCCTCAATCTTCGACTGGCTAAGGTCTCTGACATGATGGCTTTGATTTGTCTAGGCTTGCAACATGGCCTTGGTCTTTGGCTGGCTGAGGTCTTTGATGTGATGGCTTTGATTTTCTTGGACGTGCAACGTGGCCTCAGTCTTCAGATGGCCAAGGTCTCTAGCGCGATAGCTTTAATTTGCTTGGGCTTGCAATGTGGCCTCGATCTTCGACTAGTTGAGGCCTCTAACTTGATGGCTTTGATTTGCTTGGACTTGTAACATAGCCTTGGTCTTCAGTTGGCCAAGGTCTCTAACTTGATGGATCAAATAGCACCCAAGCTTAGTTAGATGAGGCACTTTGAAGATTCTAGGTTTCTTAGGGGGTTCAGTGGTGCCTAGTCATCTTAGAACTAATCGGTGACTCCTTAATGGGTCAACCAAAGTGCTCGACTAACTCTTCACTAAATGCCAAATCGAGGGACTTTCCATGGGTCCTCATCTCCTTGAGGCCATTATGACACCATGGATCAGTCTCCACTATTTGTCCTCAAGCCATGAGTGGTAGGAATACCATTCCCACTTCACCTAGTCCATGCTAGGAATCCCACGTGCCTGTGCTTGGCCATTAGGGCCTGCTCGAGTCACCATGGAGGGCACTTGATGTATGTAGTGTGGCGAACACATTTCAGTAGTGCGGATATATCTTGTCAAGGATCACTTTTTATTGCTAAAAAATCGGTTATAAGGAGTTCAATTGGTTTTGGTAGTAGTTGCCCTACAGAGGGGCTCTCCCTCCAAATGTTGCCCTGCTTAAGATGATAGTGATGACTCCAATTAAAGGTTGGCCCTGGTCATCAGGCACATTAGCTTGGCCTAAATTATCTTTGTCCAGAGCTCGATGGTCATCCATGGAGCCCCCAAGGTATCCTCTTCAGACGAGGTCCTCTATGTGGTTGCAGAGGTCCCAATAGTCTTCAATGTCATGGCCATGGTCTCAAAGAGACTCATAGTACTTGTCCATAGTCCTTTTTGCTTAAGACTTCAACTTCTTTAACCATCGGATGAACCAACAGTCATGAATATGAATCAACAACCTGATCTATTTCGAGCTAAGTGGGGTGAAATTTTGGAATGTTGGAAGTGGAGTCATCGGCCT